GACACTCACTGGCTGTTTTCTGCTGCTGTTTTACAGAAGGAGATGCTGTTTGATGAAAATTTGGTGCTGCAGCAGTTACGGTACACGGGCATGCTGGAAACTGTGCGGATCAGGAGGTCTGGCTACAGTGCCAAATACACATTCCAGGTATGGTGGGAGCTGGAAGTGGACTGTGCTTTCAGAAATATTTACTCTCTTTGGAAAACACACCTTTGCCTTGTCTTCTATGTCTCTTCATATGAAGCTCATAACCACTTGGGGTGAGCTGTAAAAATACACTGTAGTTTTGAGAGAGCCTGCATGGTAAAAAGTTGTAGTTGAACTATTGTGTGAGTCATCTGCCAGTAAATTCTTCCTGGCTGCATGAAGGAAAACATTCTGAGTGTGATCAGACAGTGCTGTCTCCATGTGGGAATTAGTTTTCTGTAAAGAGCTCTCTGTAGGTCTCTGTAGGTTTAGAGATCACATACAGGTGATCTTTCCCATAACTGGAGGCTGACTGAAGCCTGCATTTCACATGGAAAAGTAGCTCAGTTTGGAGTGAGAGGTGAATACTTTCAGATCCCTGTAGCTTCAGTGTCTTAAATAGATTTGTATTTTAAAGCTAAAACTCTAAGCTTATGAGTTGTCTTCTAACTTTGGCCTCTTGCTGTGTTTGCTTTTCACAGGAATTCATCGACCAGTTTCAGGTGTTACTGCCCAAAAATGCCAAAGCCTCCAAGGAAGACATTTGTGCTTATTTGAATAAACTCAAACTGAACGAAAACTACTATCAAATAGGGAAGACCAAGGTCTGTGAAACTTTCTGTAAGGCAATAAAATACTACTGCACATGCAAAATTCAGTGCAGTTCATTTACAAGTGTTACTCTTCTCTGCATTTTGTACCTAAATTGGCCTAAATTTTACCTCTTGCAAGTATTGACACAGAGATTAAACTTGACTCCTTGGTTTTGGTGCCAACCTGGTTTCTTCACTACAAATCCCTGTTACATAGATACCGTTTGGGAAATGATTGCTATTGGCATTTGTCAAACAGGTCAATGTTTTCATTTTAGAGAGGTTCTGTGATTTGAAGGCTGTAAGGAAAAGTATTATCTTTTAGAATCCAAACTCTGAAATTTAAAAGGGCTTTTAATTTTTGGTGCAAGCTGTCACCTGGTAAAGTGTAATGCAGTGATACCAAACTATTATCTTATCCATTATCTTATTATACCTCCAGTGGGGGCTTCTTGATGAACTTTTCTTTAACTGACCAGGTTTTTATGAAAGAAGCTGAACGGCAGATACTACAGGATACACTACACAAAGAAGTGATCAGGAAAATCATCCTCCTTCAGAGCTGGCTCAAGATGGTTTTGGAAAGGAGGCGCTTTCTCAGGACGCGCCAGGCAGCCATTGTTTTACAGGTATCTTCAAGAATTGCCAACCTTACCTTCATAACAACAAACTCTGTCCTGTAACACTCCCCACCTTGAGGAAGCCTTCCCTCACTTCCAAAATGTCCCTTCCCAGGCATGCTGGCGCTCCCGCTGTGTCAGGATGGCCCTGCAGAGGAACAACGCTGCCATCGAGATCCAGGCAGCCTGGAGGCGGCACCGGCAGCGCAAACGTTTCCTGCAGCACAGGAGGAGAGTTTGTCTCCTGCAGGCCCTGGTCAGGGGGTACCTGCAGCGTAAGAGGTAAAGGGGAAGGAGCAATGTGATGTGAAACATCCATTTAGTCACCTTCCTCCTCAGCTTCACCTGCCACGTTCAGTTTGTGTGATGGGTTGACTTAGTAAACAGCTTAGTAAATTGTTACCCAAGGATGYTGTGGCTGCCCCTGCATCCCTGGAAGTGTCCAAGGCCAGGTTGGATGGGGCTTGGAGCACCCTGGGATAGTAGAAGGTGTCCYTGCCCATGGCAGGGRAATGGGATTGAGATGATCTTTGAGGTCCCTCCCAACCCAAACCACTCTGGGGTTCCATGAACTTTAAAGGTGGTTATTGCCATTTGCTATTTCTGTCAGTACCAAGTAATGAGGGGTGTGTGGACACTGGAGAAGTGTTCAGGACTTGAGCTTTATTCAGCTGAGCTGCGCTGATGCTGCCAGTCCTGACAAGCAGACACCTCTCTGCAGTCCCAGTGTAGGTGCACTTTGGGTCTGTATTGCTGTTTGGGCCCCATTTAAGCAGCTGGGTTGTTGGGTTTTTTTATCCCTGAGCATTAAGGATTTATGTTTTTCTCCCAAAAATTCTTAACAGATACCAGAAAATGGTTGCAGAAAGGCAGAAAGCTGAAGAAAAGCAGAGAGAAATGCAGGAAGATGAAAACAAAGAGGATGATACAGGCAAGGAAGAACAGAGTGAGCCAGCAACAGATGAGCTGCCTGTGAAACACGAGGCAGAGCCAGATCAAGCTGTTGAAGATGAAGATCAAGCTCAAAATGAGCAAGCTGAAAACCTGAGCTCATCTGAGAAAGCCATGTTAACCCAGAAGAGCACGACAGAGGGCTCAGAGAGAGTAATCCACAGCCGGGAGAAGCGGGAATCCCGTCGGCAGAGGGGGCTGGAACACAATGACTTGCAGAACAAACATGTGCTCCTGTCCTTTGAAGGTCCATCTTCACAGTGCCATGAGGAGCCAACTGTTTCTGAAGAGGCCCTGGAAATTGCTCCAGTGCCAGAGAAATCCACAGCACAAGAAGATAATATCCTTCAGGGAAGTGGCGAGGGAGAGAAAAGTCCAAGCGAAGAAAAACCTCTTTCAGACATTCCACCGTCGAGTGAGATGAAAGAAAGTGGTTCTGCTCCTGAGCAGCCACCCGGGTCAGAAGCAGAGGACACAGCAGCTGACAGAACGAAAACACAAGGGAATCAAAATAACCAAATAAAAGGCAGCCAAAGCTTTAATTGCCCTGCAAGGCCGACAGATCTTGCACTGAATGTTCGTAACACSCTGTCTGCTACCGGGAGCTTTCAGRGCCCTGCTGACACCTGGGCAGAGAAAAACAGGCGTCAGAGGGCAACCAAAGACCTGGACAGTCCCACTTCTGCAATCCAGAGATATGTGGATGACCCAGAGAAGCTGAAGTACAAGAGAGAGAAGTGGAAAGGAAAGAGACAGTCTGATGCTGGCCAGAATGATGTGCTGAGTCAGTCTTTGGATGGAAGGATCCGTGTGGACAAATCTCCTCAGGATGAGCTAGAGTAAGGGCAGGTGGTTTTTTTCTCACTTTACAGAAAACAGATATCTGTGGTGTTTAGAAATAGATGGAGAGCTCCTGAGAGCCTGTACATTTGGGCCGTGTTATGGGAGCAAATGGAGCTGTGAACCACTCCAGCTTTTCTTGGCTCCCAGTCCTGCAGTGAATCTGTATGGGCAGAATGTTTTCAGAAGCTCACAAAAGATTCAAAGCCTGCCTGGCTGACTTAAAATGGAGAGTCAGGGCTTTAGTTGAAATAGAGTGTGGAGTTTATTTTCATGTGTCTTTTACCCATTGAAAACAAGATTTTAGTGACCTGCAGTTTGCRAGCATCATCCCTCTGATATGACAGGAAATCTGACATTCCCATGCATTTTTACTTCTCTATTTTGCATTTAAAAGTGAATTGCAAGGGCTGCCCAGGGTTCTGTCTTAGATGTTGCACTGATACGTGGGTTATTTAAAAAATGTGAAGAGGCCACAGATTTTATTAAAATGTATGTTCTGAAACTCATCTCTTTACAGGAAGAAGGGGAGTTCAGCTTCATTAAGTGACCTCTCAACACTGGCCCAGGCTGTTGCCATGAACCAGGTATTGATGCTATCATATTTATTTATACTTGTCATTGTCTATAAATAGTATTATTTGTGAATACTTATCTGTAGTGCATACTACAGATATGTGAATACTTATCTGTTTCTGTGTTCCTTCAGATCCATATAAAAACAATCATCAGCAAGTAGTATACAATAATTTGAAGACTTGAACTTTAATAAATAGATCCTTGATCAAAACATTAAATATACTTGGTTCTTAGGGTATAATAGCTAATACCTATTGGGTAAAGTGTTTTGTCTTGATGAAACAAACTTTTTTCACCATTCTAGGTTTTAAAACCATTTAAAGAATCTTTGTCACTCACTATGCAGTTTTTGACTCCTCTCTCCTGTAGCAATCACCAGATCCAATAGAAGAAGAAAAAGGCAACAAGAAATACCTTGGGCAGAAGAAGCCCAGTGACCACTTCCCTACTTTGGACACGGCTGTTCCAATGCAGCCAGCAAGTCAGCAAGTGGATGCCAAGTATGTGCTGTGTGTGAGAAAATGAAAAAAAAAAAAGGGAGTTTCTACTGGTACTTGAATTGGGCACCTTGAGACTGTGATTGTGGAGAGGCACAAGTTGGCATCAGCTACATGATGGCTGTGTTGCTGCTTCGTGTTGCTCTGACCATGATATCTGACCCTGCTGAGGAACAGATCCTCTGCTTCTTGCATAACACTTTCTTTGAACTGGTTCTTTTTAAAATGAGAACCATTACAGCTCGGATCAAAGGTTCATGTAGTGTAATCCAACACCAAGAGAAAAGCTGAAGAGCCCAGCAAGCATGTAGTGCTGCTTCCCAGCCTCTGGCATTCTGCAGCCCAGGGACTTCCTGAGCCAGAACTGATGTTTTGGATATGTGAGGTGTTGTCTCTGTGTGTGCTGAAGGTAGAGCTCTGATCTTGTAAATGCCAGAAAGTTCAGCTGTGCTTTCACATTGTCTTTCCTTTTTTGTGCTGCTCAGTTTTTCTGCAGGTTGGGTTTTAAATGTTCCCCATAGCTGAGAATCCTGTTGTGGGTTATTGTTAAGATCCTGTTCTGGTAGCAGAGCCAGCTTTCATTGCTAATGGGACAAACTTGTATCTGCTTTTGTATTCAGGTCTGCCTTCAAAAGCCCTTTGCGTAGACTTTTGGGGAAAAAGCCAGACAAGAAAATTGCAAAGGAGAGTTCTGATGTGATTGAGGAAGGAGACGGCCTCTCCCTCATATCTTGTGTCCCCTTTCCAGACACAGGAGGAGCCCAGAAAGCTCCAGAAGGTGAGTTTGGGTGATTTAACCCTCAGCATGGTGCGTCTTTTCTGTGAGGAAACAATTCAGTCACTCTGCTTTATTTCATTTCCTTGGCAGGTTCTTCGGGGCAGCCGGGCCGCCCCCAGGCCGGGGAGCGCCACGGGAAGGAGAGCAGCAAAGCAAAGAAGAACAGAACCATAAAGATCAGCAAGATCTCCAGCGTGTCTCAGAACTGGCGCGCATCCATGGTCCGCGAGATCGCCAATGCCAACGAGCTCAAACACCTCGATGAGTTCCTCCTCAACAAGGTGAAAGGCTCTCACCCTTGATATAATTTAAGTCTTTGTTCACTGTTGGTGTGAAATTTTAAAGCCTGCTGTTCTAGGTGCATGTCTGGGTTATAATCTAAAGCAAAGGGGGATTGATTGGATGGTTTGACTAAGTTTGCATTATGGCTCTTCCTGTTCTTTTTTTCAAGTCTCTGAATGCATTATATTGCATTAAATACTCAGGGCATTCATGTTAGTTTTTTGTTTGTTTGCAACAGCCAAAAGTATTTTGAAAAGCAAGAGTTGTAAGTAAACAGAGAGTTCTCTAAAGCCCAGCTACCTGACTGCCCTGTTTTGTATCATCAACACAGTGCATTAAGAAACGTAGTTTTAAATAACTGGAATGGTCATGGATGACTAAGCCCAGCCACTAAAGCTCAACTCTGCTCAGATGTTCTTGTTTTAACAAAATCTGATGCAGATGCTTTTTTTTCCTAGATCAATGACTTACGCTCCCAGAAGTCTGGTGTTGAATGTTTGTTTTTTGAAGCCACAGAGAAGTTCAGAGGAAACATCAAGACTATGTACTCTGCTCCTGTAAGTAGTAAGTCTCAATAAAGGAAAGTTGGCAGGTGATAAATGAATTGAGTGTGCAGGTTCAAGGCTTGGCCTGCAGCTCTTCAACAAAGCAGTTCAGCAGTTCTTAGCCTAGAATTCAAAGCTGAATGTTAGACTCATTTTATGGTTCTGCTGTAATCTCAAGCAGCTGGCTTTGTTTCCCTTTTCTCATTCACTCAGCCATAAATTTATTTTTAGAAATGGATGGATTTTGCTGTCTTCAGCCTCTTAATGCTGCCGTGTTCAAACACCAAAGAGGTGCCAACAGCTTTTCCAATATTCTTCTGACACTGCCTTGTCTCAGCCAAGTGCTGTTGGACAGTGCAGGAGGGAAGTGTGTTAACTTGTTTCTGTCATGGGCTGTTATCTTTGACTTTGATCATGGCTGTGCTTTCTCACCCCTGAACTTTAAGTACATCAAAATACCAAACTGTCTGAACAGTAGCAAAAAAAAAATGTCTGACAAGTGTTTTTCCTTCTCTAGAATGGGCAAATCCATGTTGGCTACAAAGATCTGGTGGAAAATTACCAGCTCCTAGTTACAAACCTGGCCAAAAAAAGGGAAGAGAAAGAAGTCAAGCTGGTTTTGAATCTCTTTCAATCCCTTCTGGATGAATTCATCAGAGGATATACAAAGAAAGAGGAATCTGAGCAGCCCAAGGTATTAAAGTTATTCTGTTATTGGTTTATGGGATGATGAAACACTGTTGCTCTCTTAATATACAGGACTTGTATTACCTCAGAAACCTTTTCCATGGCACTTTTTATTATTTGGGAAACACTTGCCACGTGCACATCATGTGTGTAACAAATTCTGATTGCTGATACACTTCTTTTGGAATTGTTTTTTAACTTAATATTTTCAGCATCTGAAAGTTTGCATTTTCTTTGGTAAAAACTTAGGAGTTCTCTGGAGGTTTGAGAGATGGAGTTGCTTTGTCATCAGGCAGTGAGCTCAGGTGGTTTTTAGGAAGTTGATAGTGTGAGCTCAGACAACCCTCAAACCAAGCTGAAGCTGCAGGATAGTGTTTCGAATGTCTGAAGGTGAAGTAAAGTCTGGGAAACTCAATAGGGGAGAAAAAAAATGGAATGTCTGAATTTCAAAGATTAAGACCAGTTTTGTTTCCTGCTGCAGCAAACCAAAGCCCAGAAGAAGAAACGGAAACAGGATCGTGCAGTAAGTTCTTTCTTTTTGCAGTAATCCAAGTCCTCACAAAACACAAATGCCCTTTGAAGAGCTTGATTTTGTACTGATGTTCTGGTTTGTTTTGCATGCTCATTCACTTGCCTCTTTTATGAAGCTGTGGCAATATAAAACTGGTTTTCACAAAGCAGAGATCTTGCTCATGCAGTGATAGGTGGTGCTTGAGCATTTTCTTGGTTGAGTCCATGGCTTCTTTTAGAGTCTAAAGGCTTTCTCAATCATGGGTTATTTAAAAGAAAACTATTATTATTATTATTACTATTATTATTATTAGTAGTAGAAGTAGTAACAACAATAATAATAATAATAATAATAATAATAATAATAATAATAATAATAATAATAGTTGTGAACTTTAAGGCAGTGAGTCAATTAGGAAATTTTCCAGCAAACCCAACTGCCTTAAGATAGGGTGAATTTGGTGTCAGGGTGAAAGCTTTCAGCTGTAATTGTAAAATAAAAGTGGAAAATCTGAGCTAGTAGTTTTAAAAAGGCAAAAAGTTCACTGTTTCCTTGGTGTCTCTCACCAGATTGAGGAGCACAATGGCCACGTGTTCACGAGCTACCAAGTGAGCATCCGGCAGTCGTGTGAGCACTGCTCCTCCTACATCTGGCCCATGGAGAAGGCCTGTCTGTGCAGTGGTGAGTGCACACACCTCATTCCTGCTGCTCAAATTACCACTTGCAGATTGCTTGTAGCTCTGGCTGCTACAGTTGGGCCTTGGTGAACAGGCCATGTAGAAACTGGGTAAGACAATGCAAAGTGTTTTAATSTGATCTGAATGCTTGTAACAATTGCTTCTCTCTCTAGTTTGCAAGTTGACTTGTCACAAGAAGTGCATGTCCAAAATCCAGAACAGCTGTACCTCCTGTGGGAAAAAGGTAAGGCCTGTGGGTCTAGGATGGGGTTCTGTGGGACCATAAGTGGTGCGTCCAAAAATGCTGCCCTAATTTCCCATCAAGTGAACAGTGAACATCCAAATTTTATTCAGTGCACTGAATAAAAATGGCTTCAACAGTTCCCTTCTCTGTCTACATGTAGTCAGAGAGGGGCCCTGCACTTGCAGGAGCAGAGCCATCTTCTGAGGGTGGTGCTTAAGCTAATTTAGGAGCCCTTCTGTCAGTGTGCATGTGCAGTGTTGGACAAACTGATGAAGAAATCCTTCAGTATGAACCATAAAGATTCCTTATGTCTGCAGCTCAGGAAATCTGCCTTGTGATCAAAGGCATGTAGCAAGCTGGAATAAAACCCTCAGCTTTAGTTTCTAGAAGCATAAAGTAATTGTAGCAGGAAGCAAGGGCATTTTCTAGCTCAGGAACAGGAATTCATGGTGGTGTCACACCTATATCAACTGCAGAGCGAGCAGGACACAGAGCCCCGGCACTTTGGGGTGTGTGTGAGCTCCCTGACCAGCGAGAGGAACTCGGTGCCCATTGTCATGGAGAAGCTGCTGGAGTACGTGGAGATGCACGGGCTCTACACAGAAGGCATCTACAGGAAATCAGGATCAGCAAATCGCATGAAGGAGCTGAAGCAGTTGCTGCAAGAAGGTCAGGCAGTGTTGTCCACCCTTGGCACTTCATTGCATTATATCAGTTTTTCCTGCAATTCTCTTCTATCTGGAAATATCTGGCACTGCTTAGTGTTTTGAAAACAGCTTTTTACTTACTGTGCAGGCTGTATTATTTTGCTGGCTGCCAAAAGCTGCTTACTACCTTTAAATTACTATCTTTTGCCTTTTCTTTTCTTCTGAATTGCCATTTGAATTCTGTGAACTGGAGATTTGAATGTTTCTAATCTTATTTCTATGGCGTCTCAGTGTGTGAATCAAAGGAATGAACTGCTCTAAATAAAACATTTCTTTTCAGACCCAAACTCGGTGAAACTGGAGAATTACCCTATTCACACCATCACAGGGATCCTTAAGCAGTGGCTGAGGGAGTTGCCAGACCCACTGATGACCTCGGCACAGTACAATGATTTTCTCAGAGCTGTAGGTAGGTTTTGAAGCAATTCTTCAAACATTTCTTCTTTAACCCATTGTGTCCTTGGGAAGGGAAATTCTTAAGATCCTCCTGCTGACTAAACACATCCTTTCACTGCACTGACAGCAATCATTTTAGGTATTTTACAGGAAAAAACTTTTCAGGGAATTTCTCTTCTAGCTTACTTGATCTTGCTTCAGGATTCCTTGTTTTTATTTTTTAATATATCACTTATAGCTGCTGTTTCCAAGAAGAGTGAATAAGCATGTGAATAAGTTTCCTTTCAGGCAGGTTTTTCTTCTTGTTCTTCTGAACCAGATCTGGATATACAGATACTTTATATCCCTGGATTCCTTTAACTTCAGTGGCATTAAGGCACCCTAGATATTGTTGGAGTGCTTGGTGTGTCACTTGATGACTGCACTATCTAAAAATCCAGGAAAACTGCGGCGCCACAAGGGGTTACTTTAACATTCAATTATAACAGTTAGTAAATGAAATGATAGTAAGATTTATCAGAATTTAGGAATTTTTAGCTTTCCACTAGCTTTGCACAGCAGTTACAGTCTTGTGCTTCCTCTCTTTGTGCAGAACTGCCAGAAAAACAGGAGCAACTCTGTGCCATTTACAGTGTCCTGGAACAACTCCCACAAGCAAATCATAATACCTTGGAACGACTCATCTTCCATCTTGTCAAGTAAGGAGTTTGATTTCTTCATTTGTAAAGAAACTGGGATTCTGAATACTTCTTGGAAGCTTTCTAATGTGTTAAACCCCTTCAATGTAAGTGTAGGGATTGTGCTGTGGGTTTAGAAACAAAAGAATTGAAGCTGGTAGTTGTGCTTATAAGCAGGTGCGTGGTTACTTCTGCCACCTGGTGTATTTGGATCAAAGCTGGTAAGAAAAGCTTTGAAGACAAGGTAGATCTCAAAGCCTTGGTGAATCAACTGAGCACCAGGATTTAGGCAGAGGGGCTTGGAATGAACTGAGGATGAACATATGTGAGTTCCAGGAGCAGGGATAACTGGTGTTGGTAAAGGGGCTGCTCTTACCCAAGGAACTGGAGGATTTTCCAAGTGGCCCTCTGAACATGGGCAAAAGGAGTTTTTGAAGAGGAGGCACTGAATCACCAGGCGTAGTTTTGAGAGGCTACCAGAGGCTACCAGACTAGTGTAACCTGGGTGGCTCCCTGRYCCTTCTTCTGATACATGAAATGTTRGCTACTTAGTARGTGTGAAATAATTTTAAAGCTTCTTTGGACTGCTGTATGTGCTGAGTGTCAAGAGGCCTCCTCACATGTTATTTGGGAACTCTGGCAAGGTGTGATCAGGGTATTTGTACTCTAGCAAGGTCTGCTTASACTCTCTTTTTGTGGCTGTTGGATTTCAGAGTGGCTTTGATAGAAGATGTGAATCGCATGTCCCCCAACGCCCTGGCCATCGTGTTTGCTCCGTGCCTCTTGCGCTGTCCTGATACCTCTGACCCCTTGACCAGCATGAAGGATGTCTCAAAAACAACCATGTAAGTTTTGGCAGTCTGCTGAGAAGCAGTGTTTTGGAATGTCATGGAAGGCCAGTACCACTGCTTTTGTTACAACTGTATTGTATTGTTAACTGTATTTGTTACAACTTTATTCATATCAAGCTGAGAAACTGAGCTTCAAGAGTTGCTGAATTCTAGCTCTGCCAGTGCTAACAATTTATACACCTCTCTCAGACCTTCTGCTTGCCTCCACTTCACAAAGAATAAAGTAGGATGACCTGTAAGTGTTAAATACCAGGTTTGTGTTTTATATCAAGATAATCTTTTGGAGGGTTGTACACTGAGCATTAATTTTGCTGAGATACAAGCCATTCTAAACAATTTTACATAGAATTAAGGTGTCTACTGCATACTTGGAACCCCCRATAATCCCTTCTGCATTGTTCCTTGAATTGAAGAAGGTTTTCTTGTTGACCCTCTCTGTTCTCACCCTCCAGCAACTCTGGTTGTGAGTGCCCCTCGGTATCCTCACTGTATGGCTGGCCTTGCACTTGCCTCCAATGAAAACAGAGTTGGAAAAATGACTGCTTTTTGTAACTTCTTACTGAGCCCCGGGGCCATAGAGGTGGAGAAGGGCAGTTGCAGGCTCTGACAGCACAGGGACAACAGGTAGAAGCTGTTGGTAGCTGTGGTGATGTCTGTGTGCTCCCATTGTGTACAGTTAGCATGGGAGACTCTGGCTATCCCAGGAGGAACATGTGCAATTTCCTGTCCCCACTATCTGTCCTGCTGTGCCTGCTGTGTTGGACTCTTCACCCTTTACCATGCACGGCTGCCTTTAGGGATGGGCTGGGACAATGTCTCACACCAGCCACGTGCGTGTGACAAACACCCCCAGCTTGGAGTGGCATCTCATCCCACCATGGTTGTTTGAGAGCTTCTATGGAATGAGGCAGCTCAGTAAACTCCTGTCTTTCTCACAGGTGTGTAGAGATGCTCATAAAGGAACAGATAAGGAAGTACAAAATCAAAATGGAAGAAATCAATCAGCTGGAAGTGGCRGAGAGCTTCGCTTTCCGACGGCTCTCGTTGCTTCGGCAGAACACGGTAAGTGTTGAAATAAAACACCAACTTCTTGGGAAGGGACTGCTCCTTATCATCCCTTCTTGGGAAGGGAGTGGGAAAAAAAAATGGCCAAAGCTGTAGGTAGGAGTTAACAGCTGCACTGAAGTGCTGATAAATGAAGGGCGCAGGAGTGGGGATCTGCTTTTGCAGTGGTCAAAATCTATTCCCATATAATTCTGTCATTGGAACTAAAAGTCTGTGGTGTGGCAAAGGAGTTCCTTTACTCTAAAGATAGCTGGTGTGTAAAACTATGCTGTATTCTAGTAGGGCAAATACACTTATTTTGTATTTTTGTTGTACTGATTAATACAAACCAAACTCTCTGATCAGAGGCTGCAWATAGTGAATTTGGTCTCCATCTCTCTCTAGCTGTGGCCTGTAAAACTTGGGTTCTCTTCCCCTTACGAGGGGAAGCTGGTATGTACAACTGCCTGGCTCCAGTGCATGGGTTTTTCTTACGGTACTATTGCATGACTAAAATACTTACACRTGTTGTAACTCAGTTTTAAACGCTCTTTTGAGCAATCAAGGCTGCATGTACTGGTGTAACTTCCTCCCCAGACTGCATGCAGGGCTGCTGGCCTGTTCTGTCATCACCTGGTATTTTATAGACACTGTATGTAACTTAGGTTGGATGCAATAATATTACTCAGAACTGACTACTAAAACTAAATTGAGCCTGACAGATCAGAAAAGGTAAAAAAACGTCAGAAATTGGGTGAACAGGAAATTTTTTCTTACTTTTTGAAACATATGGATAACTAACAGCTCTTCATCAATTCCCTCGGCCTCTCCTTTGACATACTCATTTGTCTTCCACTCCAAAGCTTGCAGACTGGTGCATCTGCTTGCGACTGAGAAGTGTTACTCGTGAATTTGTCTTGCAGAATAAAAGCTCTCAGGTCAAAGGAAATGACAGTGGCACCTCAGAGCTGGACTCTGTGCATGAAGAGGAGGACGTTTCTGAAGCCAATAACCGGGAGAAGGAGATTCTCATTGATCGCATACAGTCAATAAAAGAAGAAAAGTAAGTCCCTCTTTACCTGGGTAGGCCATGCCCTTTGCACTCGGAGGCAATACAGGCAGAAAAGTAGAATATCTTTTGCCCAAAAGGATCTAATTCTGTTCAGTAGGCCTTTATGAGTGGCAAAAGGAAAMTACAAAGCACTAGCTGAGAGAAAATACCAGAAGCATTAATAGTTCATTACTACATGCTTTACCTGTGATCATGAGCCGCATAAAGTTGCTTGTGTCAGAGGTGCTGTGCTGGCTGAGTGCTGCAGCCTGTGTTTGATGCAGGGAGGACATCACTTACCGCTTGCCTGAGCTCGACCAGCGAGGCTCCGACGAGGAAAACGTGGACTCKGAGACCTCAGCGAGCACGGAGAGCCTGCTGGAGGACAAACCAGGCCGGATGGATACCGAAGGTCAGTATTAAGGTAGTATGTGCTTTTTTTTATTCTACATCTTCTACTGAGTACAGCCAGGTGACCAAACGTYATCTGGTCACTGTGGCTCGTATCAAGTTACATTTTATGCCTGCTATCAGTCTCTAAGTATCTTGTTTCTTTAAAGCAATTATTGGATTACACTGCCGTGCTCAGAGCTCCAGCGTGCCTGCCAAAGACATTTGCAAAGTGCCTTCTCTCCCGCAAACCTCTTCGAATTCTTACTCTGCATCCCTGGCTTCAAGGCGCAGATACTCCTTAACACTGTCCAAGATTAAAGTGCCCCGTCGAACTCCAGTGATGCCAACAGCAAATATAAAGCTTCCTCCGGGGATGTTCAAACGTACAGAATCCCAGGATGAGGTTTTGGCTAAGGAAGAGCCTCCGGTGGTGTGCCGAAGGGAGCAGCCGGCGMGGCGCACGGACAGCATCCACTCGGTGTACATTGCACAAGGGTCGGCACTGGCCCGCGCTCAGGAACTCGTGGATGAATACGAACCCACAGTGAAGCTCAAACGCAGGTTCTCGGACCCTTACTCTCACATTCCCTGCGTGGAGAAGTGAAATTCTTCAGCTCTCTGGACTCGTCTTGAAGTTGACCACAGCTTTGGCTTTAACCCTTTGAGGGCTGTGAACTTGTTCATGGTCTTTTAAGTGGCTGTGGGGAAGGCAGCCTGGAAATKTACAGTACTGTAAGGGTTAAGCGAGGTTGTTTAAAGCAAATACTCTCCACTTTAAATTAAAACCTTGCAAAGAAAGTAAAACTTAATGTTGAGTCGAATACATGGGCTGAGTGTACAGGAAACAAGTCCCCCCATTCCGCTGCCGTGCCTTTTCCATTTGCCTTACAATGGACTCTCATGGGACCAACAGTGAGTTTAGGTCAATGTGTGTTGCCTTAATTTTTTGTATGATTTTATGACAATTTTCTCTATGGTTTACAGGACTGTTAAWGTGGTAATAGCCTTAACTGAGACCGTCATGTATGAAAACGTTTATTAAAACATTGCACTTTTAAAAAATAACATGTTGTTTATCAATGTCTGTCTAACGAGGAATGCATTACAAAGGAAGCCTTTACTCGTGTTACTGTTTTTATGAAGTACTGGTAAGTGGGATTGTCACCAAAACTGCATGAAAAACTRAAAYTCTCCAACAACATCTTATCAGTGTTAGTGAATTTAGGCATTACTTTTTTCTGGCCAGGRTGTTGTTCTGGCCAGCATGGGCAATAGAAATCAATCCATCCACACRTGCCTGGGTTGTGCAGTGAAAATCGTTCCACCACACATCACTCTTTACTGGACTTCTCACATATTTATATAGACAAAACCCAAGGAAAATCATATTCCTTGGTCTTAAATTACACAATTTTTAGTATTCAATTTCCTATTGATTATTGATCCCTTCACCTTTGATGTGAATTAGATCCTCATTCTCTGATTCTCCTTTCARTCYTTTCCCAGACTAGGTGTCTGCAACTGCACCATGGGTGATGTTCATTAYTTTTCATTTATCTCCTKTCCATCTTTTGGCTWCTCTCAGTCTGTAGACATTGAGCTCATCAGGTCTCACCCCGTCAGTGTGAACAGARTCTTTTGAAGAGAAACTTCAATTCCCCCTMCYCCTGGGCAAAGGGGAACAGACCCCTGAGTAAATTACATTAAAAACCTTAAAAGTTGTACARTTACCAACAATTCCATTGGGTTCTGTAGCATCACAGTGGTCTCCTCAGCTCCATGAGGCCACAGAGTGTCACATTGACCCTTAGTTCCACAAAGCCAGAGAGAAGGGGAAGCACTAACGAGGCTGTGGGTTCAGTGGGGAGGTTTTTGGTGCTTTGGGTTCAGCGGGGAGGTTTTTGGTGCTGTGGGAGTAAAGGCGGAGCTCAAGGTGCGGGGCCACACCTGAGGGCGAGGTGCGATCCCACAGCAGCGCCTTGAAGCCACGGCCACTCACGCTGGGACCATGTTGGAGTGAGGGATTGATCTAAAAATGATTTGAGCAAGACTCTGCAACTTATATAATTTTAAGTTGTGAAGTAGGTATGTTTATCGCAGCGCTGGGTGAGCGGGAAGTATTCTTTAAAGCTGCCTACACCCCAGCACGGGCATTGCTTGGTATATATCAGGTTACATGTTACACATTCACCGAGTTTTGCAATTTGCCAATACATATTCATGACTTATCTCTGCTTTGTATTATAATGAGTTTAAAAGTCATTTCTATGTGGTCACCCCCGCACGCCTGTGGTCCGGGGGTCTCGGGAGGAAGTAAAATACTCATCCTCTTGTCTTGAAATTTTCACTTTTCTCTCTGAGTGCCTGGCTCAAGTACAAACAACAACTCTAGTTTTGACCAGAGCAGCAGTTCTACGTATACAGGCTGAATCACAGTCTCTGCTTTTGTCAATAACTTTTTTACTTTTTATTCTGTTTTAACAAACACAATCAGTGTTAAGTAAGTAATACACACTGTCTAGCAAGCAGTTTTTAACAAGTTACCCTGTAACTTCTAATATTTCTGCATCAGGATCAGCCTCGGCTCGGCTCCAGCGCTGCCCCAGCAGCCCCGAGCCGCAGCCTCTTCTGTAGCCGTGTAAGAGACCGTACTGAAGATCCGTGACTGTCTCACGATTTACGACTAAACCCCAAGGCGGGAGAAAGGGGGCTTTTGCTCAAAGGAGTCTGAGCCAGGTCAAGGTGGAAGGATTGCCAAGTTTCCAGCTCCTAGGCTGCTGAGAACAATGGATGTAAGCTACGGATGATCGCACCGTTCCTGAGGAGAACAGCCCGCAGCCCATGCTGCACACCTTAACAATAGACATTCTTTCCCCACCGCCTGGCCGGCTTCCCATGCTTCAAAACCCCCTCCTGACCTGCAGCCACTCGCTTTGAAAAAGACTATAAAAAGTCTCCCCCGAAAAGACTACTTTGGAGATCTCTCTACCAACAGACTGACGACCATCGTGGGACCTTGGAAGACCTCGTCAACTCTGTTGGTAGCTATATAACCCACTTTCTCTCTCTTTCTCTCTCTCTCTCACCCTCTTCTGTCGCAAAATACCCAAATAAATTGTCCCTGATTATTTGAAGCATATATATTTGCCCTTCGTTTTCTTTTGCACTCTGAGATTCCAAAAGAACCTATCATGACCCCCGCTCAACTAAAGCGGATCGTGACAGCCCGTGAACGGGCGGTGGCTTTGAGCTGGCTTGGGAGAGTATTTTGGATTTTTTTTTTTAAATAACGCGGGTGGGTCACAGCCCGCCCGGCGCTTCCCGCCCCGCCCCGCGGCCCGCCCCAAGATGGCGCAGGGCGCTGAGGCGAGTTCCGGTGCCGCCATGGCGCCGACGCGGCTGGAGCTGAACCTGATGCGGCTCCTGAGCCGGTGCGAGGCGCTGGCGGCGGAGCGGCGGGACCCCGAGGAGTGGCGGCTGGAGAAGGTGAGGCCGCCGTGCCCCTCTCTGCCCCAGCGCCGCGTCCGGCCCCTCAGWACCGGGGCGAGGAGCGTTGTGGTGTTAAACCCCCAGCCTTTGCCTGACCGGGTGTTACTCCTTAATGCTGCCGCTTAAAGTCGTATTTTTGTCCTCAGTATGTGGCTGCTCTGGAGGACATGCTCCGGGAGCTGAAGAAGCAGTCCAGGTGAGCGCGCTGAGCCCCTGGGTGCCGGTTGTAGGTTTGTGTTTCAGAGGAAACGCCTTCAGGCTGTGCCAGGGGAGGTCCAGATTGGATACCAGAAAAAAAATCATTTACTGAAAGAGTGGTAAAGCACTGAATCAGACTGCCCAGGGAAGTGGTGGAGTCGCCATCCCTGCAAGTGTTCTGAAAGAGAGCAGATGTGGCACTTTGCAATATGGTTTAGTGGGAATGGGGAGGATTCAGTTGAATCCCGGGATTTGCTGTTGGACTTGGCGACCTTTTCCAATATTAATGACTCTGTGATTCAATAATCTCTTACCTGTAAGTCAGCCATAGYCTACAAACACCACATCACTGTAGATGCTCCCTATGAAAATACGTGTGCCCCTAGCAATCCCTGCCTTGGAAAAGGTGATTTGCAGAGGGTTATAAGTGTGTTCCCAACCTGAAGCTATTTCTGCTTCTTTGAAGAACCACGTGGGGTTTTTTAAAAGTTTTRTTTGGAAAGTAGAACAGTAGAAAATGCTGGTAACTTTTGGCTTTCATATTATTATCTTTCAATTCCAATAGCAAACCAGCCCCCGAGCTGCTAAATGAATACTCTCGCAAAGTGGACTTCCTAAAGGGACTTCTAGAAGCTGAAAAATTGGTAAGATCTGCTAGTTCAGCTTGAAAAGGCTTCAGTGTTCTGTGCTTACACTCACTTTATTGCTATGTTTACTTATATCTTGTATCTCAAAATAACAAGTGTTAACATCTTATTAGGCAGTCCTTGTGAAACCCTGAATAAATATAACGGATTCATATTTCCTTAAAGGGATGTATTGTATGAAATCTGAAGCTTCTTTTCAAAATCAAAGTACACCTKGCCTACATTCTCACTCCTTGGCTGTGAGATGCAGGGGCAGGTACTGTCCCTCAGGCCTGACACATGTCTGGGATGGTGCCAGGTACACTTGGAGAGCTGTGAAGTGCCAATAAGCTGGGTTTTAGTTAGTGGGGTGCAGTCAGTGCTGCTGTTCACTCTGCCTTCACTGTTGAGAAGCAGCTGTGGAGTTGCACCCTCATCCTTTGTGGGTCACACCCCAGGTGCCTCACACTACAGAATGTGACATCCATGAATTTTCATTGCTTCTTCCCAGCCTTCCTCAACGGAAAAGGCTCTGGCAAACCAGTTCCTGGCCCCTGGACGCACCCCTACGACAGCCAAGGAGAGAACCCCGGCCACCAAAACCGTCCACCTGCAGACCAAGGCGCGGTGCACGGGCCAGATGAGGAGTGAGCTGCTTGGCACAGTATGTTCAGTGCTGCTTTGCTGATATTTGCAGATTGTCCTGGTTGTGTTCAGCTGCCTTGGGTGGCYGTGTTTAAAAAGTGTCCCAGGCTGGGTGGGGAGTCACCTTTTTATCTCTAAATCCTGGGCAAGGGCACTCTGCCAGGCCTGGGGGCTGTCCTTTATCACTGACCCTTTGTAATCTGCTGTTTTGGTTCTCTTTGTCCTCCCAGGACCCCCTGGCTACTGGTGGTAAGTTTGATCTGTTGTTTCCTCTGACTTTATTCAACCTTAGTCTTACAGGGAGGGGAGGGTSACATGTTCAAGATTTCCCAAAGTGTATTTTTAATTTAGTGCCTCACTTCTTTTTCAAGACAGCAGATTTTAATAACCAACTAAACCAGAAACGCTGACAGATGAAAGCAGAGGTGTTGTTCTCAATGGTAGCAGGGACYTGCAGGAACCTCTTTTTGTGGCATTGGTGCAGAAACAGACACTCATTACAGAATTAGCAGGGACAATTTATTATTGCTCCTGTTCCCTTCTGCTGTGAGTGAATCATGTGATTCTGGGTGCTTTGAGTAGGTGTTGTTCAGTTCCTCTGGAATACACAGCCATGTTATTCACGTAGGGAGCTGGGAGGAATTAATTGAGGTTTCCATGGCTACTGTTAGAGCAGCTGGAGCTGGGCCAATCCAACGTGTCCTGAAAGAACACCAAGATACATGGGCTGAAACCCTGCCCTCAGGGATATGATTCAGCTGGGGTTTTTCCCCTCTTTTGATGTTGGGTGTCCTCTTTTCCCAGGGGAAAGCAGGTAGGCATTTGACACTCATATTTCTTGGGGYTGAGGATAAGTAGGATTTGGATATCCAAAAATCCCTTACAGGAGAATAGTTTTTTCAGCCTGTGATTGCATGGGAGTTTATAAGGTGCTAAATGCATTTTTTTTTTTTTTTGCCAGATTCTGAGGAGTTGAGCTTAAGGAAGCGAAAGTAAGTCAAAATTTCTCATTCCAGTGCTCAGTGTTTTGGGAACTGTTTTCCCAATGACCTTTAATTCCCAGATATGCTTGAAACTGTGTGAAGTGTCTGCTGATAAAAACCAAAATGTAATGACTTCAGCTGACTTAATGGGTCTTGTAGAGTTACAAAGTCTGGGGAAAACTTGTGAGATTGCTTCACAACGAAGTATAAATCCCATTTTTTCCCCTTGTGCTCTTTCAGAGGCCTCCCATCRGATGAGAAGCAGTCAGCAGTGGAGCTGGATGCCGTGCTGCAGCACCACCAGGACATGCAGGAGAAGCTGGCTGAGGAGATGCTCAGCTTGGCTCGAAGCCTCAAAAACAACACTCTGGCTGCCCAGAACGTGATCAAACAGGACAACCAGGTAGCACATGCTGAGCTGTAACCCCTCAGTTTTGCAACCCAAGTGCTGATAGTGAAATGCTGTAACTCAGTTCCAGGTGGGATTGGAATGGGGGAGACTGGGGGCAATACCTGTCTGCTGCTATTTGCAGTTGAATCTTTCCTATGTTGGAGGAAGCTGCTAGAGCTGGAAGCTGTGAACCTGACACTGTTTTCTCTCTTTGCTCCCTAGACTCTGTCACACTCCCTCAGGATGGCAGACCAGAACTTTGAGAAGCTCAAGGACGAATCTGACCGTCTGGAGCAGCACGCCAAGAAATCCGTCAACTGGCTGCTGTGGATAATGTTAATTGTAGTTTGTTTTATATTCATCAGCATGATTCTCTTCATCAGGATTTTTCCCAAACTGAAATGATTCTATTTAGTTTTATTTTAAGCTGCCAGCAGGGCGGTGGGGAAGCTCAGCTGGTGTGAGAACTGTCACAGTCAATGTCCTTAAAGGGGCTGCCCAAGGCCTACCCTTGCATCTCCTCCTTGTGCAGGCAGTGGAGGGTTTCATGAGGAASGTTTTCCACACCCAGATACTTGTTTACTTGGTGAATATTGTTTCCTATTGAGGAGAGAGCTGAGAATTTACTCTGAGCTGCTAACAAGTTCTTTAGTGGATAAATACAATTCTTTTTAATGTGGTTGTGACAAATGTTATGACTTCTAAAARGCATTTAGTCAATGCAAATTTAAATAACAGTTGAGGTCTTACACCCTTTCCTGTCTTCACAGCTTTTCTGTATTGACTTAGGAGCTTGCTGCCAACAGGATATTTAATTTCARTTCTGTACATACACAGCTGCAGGTGCAGGAAGAGAATTCTGCTGTTCAGGTGCTTGCCTGGCTCAGAGTCAGAGTCAGAGTATCAACAGGTAAAACTCTTCTCAGGCTCACCTTTTTCCCAGATGGGAATTTGGGACTTTRGAATTTACCATCTTCTCCAGTTTAGACTTACTATAGGACTGGATTTGCTTTTTRTGCAATGTKTRTTTCTCTTTTGTATGTGCAAATGTTCCTACTTCTCATTGTTGTGTTGATGCCGTTGCKTGAAGGAAACACTGTGACCCTGCCACCTTAGAACTGTACACACAGTGCTGCAGGTGGCACAGACCTCACCTGTGCAAACATGTTTGCAATGTAAGATGAGGGCAAAGGAAGGTGGTGTCTTCAAGATGGAAATAATAATAATTTAAAAAATACTCAGTCTTTCCTTTTGAGACAAATTGTTCRTTCTAAATGTTGTCTTAAGAGTTCACTAAAATAGAGAAAAAATAAATGAATATTTTTAAAACACTGCTGCTGCTAGAAAAACTTGGAGACTGCAGTAAAGCAGGRTTTGTGTGACACCTTAAGAGTCTTTGTAGGTGCTTGTGATAAGCTGAAAGGAAACCCTTCTGCATCCCTGCTGGTGTTTGTGGAGTTGTGCTCTGGAAGGTGTTCAGGTGGGCAGCAGGTGACCCTGGCTGTGCTTTGGATTGGAACCACCAGATGGGTGTGCCAGGCCTGGCTGCTGATCTAGGGCCAGGGGAAGGTGGGGACAGAGCTGTTTGTCACAACTGGGCTCTTAGGAAAATCCGGCTTTGCTTTGAACACATCCCAAAGCACCAAGCTCTGTGTCAGAGCTGTGCTCTATTCTGTACAAACCCATTGCTGGTAATGGAGACAGTTCACATTTTTTACACAAAGTTTTTCTGCTCATTTAACAGGATGTTTGCAAGTTAGCATGTCRCTCACTTATGGATTATTAAATTAATATATTATGGGGTACAGCTTTTAATTCCAGCTACTTGGATATCTGGGATATGCTCCTTCTGTTCAAACTTGTTACTTACCTTGAACTTCAGAGAAATTTATAGTTGTGGCAATCCATTTGTGGATATTTCTACTTTGCTCAGTTGTTTGTCTTTAACTGTATGTAATGTTGGACATTTCACTGTTGTTCATTAGTCAATGCTGTGTCACCAAATTACTTTTCAGTTGTAATTGTTTACTACTTTCCCTGCAGGCATTTCAGTGCCGAGCTCTTCACTTAGAGGCTGAATGTGGTGTTGGAATGGTTTTTGTATGTGAGATTTTGGGATGCAACATTAATGCTTCATTGTCCATAACGTTTTCCTCTTTATTACTTGAAATAAATTATTTTTTCTAGCTTGCAAARCATTTGGTGTATCATTGCAGACAAGTTTAAGGCTTAATTTTGCTATCAGCAAAATGGGTTGCCTATAACTTTTTGGCACTTATAAATTAGGAAATTTTCAATTGGAAAGACATGAAAGGGAACTGCAAGTGATAGCTTGTCTCCAAGAAAACATCCTCCCTTCCAAGTCACAGCAATTGATTTACATAGAAGCCTGCATGGAATGAGTTCAGAAACCACTTAACTTTTGACCATTGACATCTCATGGGTGTTTGTTGTTTTGAATGAACAGCCAGGATTGAACCCTGGAACACCTCTTGTTATCTCCAGTGGCCGTTGAGCACGGAGCCTCTGCTTCCTGGGGTTCTTTCCCAGGTGGAAGAACGTTCCTTTCTTCCCCCAACCTGCCAGATCCACTGCCTCAGCAAYCAGCAACCCCTGCACACAAAAGCTGGGTTGTTGTCTTTGCTTTTCTTGAGTTCATTTAGCAGTTGGAGTCATTCAACACCACTTTGAAGATGGGAGCYGGTGCTATTTAGAATAAACAATGACTCAGGGCTTTGTGACATTTCTCAGATGAATGACAGTTTTTATTTTTGACTAACCTGTGGGGGGTGGTGGATGCTCTGCTGCCCCAGCCCTCAGCTCCATTTTGTGGCACAGGGCTCTGATCTGCAGCTCTCCACAGAATAATGTTATGTATAGAAATCACTTTCTGTGAGAGTTGCTTAACTTTCCCAAAAGCTTGGGAAATCGAGATGGGGAGATGTTTATCAGGCACAGGGCTGGGCCTTGCTTGGCTTCTTGGCAGACTACCTACTTTGAGACAGCAAGGAAAATTAAACCAAAAAATCATTTGGAGGTTTGGGTCATGTCAGGCCAGTGGATTCAGAGTACTCTGCACCAGTTCAGAGTCTGGCAGCAGCAGAGACTCTGGGTCAGTCTGAGCTTTTCTGGCAAACATCCTTGGTGGCAGAGACTCCATGTGTTATAATGCTCAATGTTTTAGCAGTGTCCACAGTCACAGCCAGATGGAGGGCTGTGGAAGGATTGTTTGCAGSCTGTTGGTGAGGGTGCAGGAGTGGCAGGAGCAGAGTGCTGGATACVATGGCTCCWGGGCCTGGGCAGTACCARGTTTTGGGCATGTGTTCCCTTGGGTTGTCTCTGCACTTTGTGCATCAGAATTGAGAGCCTTTGAGCAGCTGCCCCAAACTGGCAGCTATTCTGCCAAAAGGGAATATCCTGTAAAGAGTGAAAAGGAGGGAGTGGGCAGAGCAGGGTTCTGCTCTCAGCTGTTCCTGGTGTGACACCAAAMAAGTCACCTCCCTTCTCATTGTCAGCTGTAAACCTGCCATGAAACCTCAGAATYGAGTCTTATGATTTATAGCTGCAATTTTGTTTCTTTTACAAAAGAAATTCTTCCCTGTGAGGGTGGGGAGGGCCTGGCACAGGGTGCCCAGAGAAGCTGTGGCTGCCCCTGGATCCCTGGCAGTGCCCAAGGCCAGGYTGGACAGGGGTTGGAGGACCCTGGGACAGTGGAAATGTCYRTGCCCATGGCAGGGGGTGGCACTGGATGGGCTTTAAGATCCTCCCAAACCATTGTGGGATTCTATGAATCATAAAAACTGTAATGACAATGCTTTTGCAGCTCAGAGCAGATACTCAAATGTGGTCTGCAGCAGAATTCCCGATGTAATTCCCGAGTCCCAGGGCTGGCATGGGATTGGCTGGGAGCTCCTGTCCTGACCTGCCCCACTGCCGGGAATCCGTGTGCGCTGGCCGTGTGTCCCACTGAACGAGAGTGACATTAAACCCCAACGGCGCTAAATCAATACCACCTGTCACAYGATGCCACCGTGACATTTCTGGCATGAGCGCTCCCTCTAATAGGAGCTGGAAGTGGGAAGCAGCAGCAGTTAGTGCATAATGGATCAGATACGCCTGATTTGTAACATTTACAGAGAGAGGGCGTGTCTCCCAGCGACAGAACAAACCGGTTATCAAACGGGAACTGGGAGTTCTGGCTCGTCCCAAACGCAAACCCCGAGCAGCGCCGAGCGCAGAGCCGGGGTTTGTGAACGGTGCTGCCCAGAGCTCCAGCGCTCCCCCCAAATTAGACCCTGGAACAACAAAAACAGGCATTAGTGTCAGGAAATAACCAGAGAAGGAGGGGCTGGGGGGGAGCTGTGGGTCAGAACTGGTGTAGCCGGTGGCTGGAACCCGTGCTGGGGGCAGTGACACGGCTGCACCGCTGCCCTGCSCGTGGCTGCTGCAGAGCAGGGAGCCTGGCAAGCAGCTTGTGCAAACCACACCTGGGGCTGGCTGAAGTGAGCGGCAGGAACTGCAGGGAAGAATGGAGGATGAGGAGGTTCAGGGGCTTGAAGGCCATATCTGTCTGGGGTGTTGTGGAAGGATTGTTTSCAGGCYKTTGGTGAGAGTATAGAAACAGCAGGAGCAGAGTGCTGGATACGATGGCTCCTGGGCYTGGGTAGTCCAAGGTTTTGGGCACRTGTTCCCTTGCRTTGTCTCTGCACTTTGTGTATCAGACTTGTGAGTCTTTAAACAGCTTCCCCAAACTGGCAGCTATTCYKCCAAAAGGGAATATCCTGTAAMRAGTGAGAAGCAGARTGGKCAGAKCAGGGCCCAGTCTCACATCCAGACCCAGGCTGGAAATGCTGACAGAACTTTGGTTCTTTCAAGTTGAAAGCTTGGATGCTTTGGTCCAAAAATATTCTGACAAGGAATTGGAAGTGAGTGGAATATTGCATTTTCCTCTGTGACATTCAAACATCAAACTCTACAAACCCAGAAAGTGGACAAAAATGCTAAAAGGAGACAGTGCTGCAGTTGGCCATGGAATTTGCTGAGCTGGAATTTGCATCCTTCATCTCCAGGGTCTTTGACCTGCAAGTAGCAGAGAGATGCCCTCTGCCATTTTCACCCTGACCAAAATTTGTATTTGCTCATGTAACAATAGAATTGTCCAGAAGGATCTGACAGTGTTTCCTGTTTCTACAGTAAAAAGCTGAGACTTCTGTCCTTAGCACGTAAAGTGACCGGATCTCCATCCTCTGAGCTTCTCCCTGAGAGAAGTCACTTATCGGATTTGGTGTGGACGGAAGGAAGGGTAAGAAAGGAACTCTGTCAATCCATGACGTGAAATATTTTATATTAAGAGATTTGGCAAATGGTTCTGTGTGACTCTGAACAGGATGAGATAATTTTCCAAGGTCGGCTCTCTTGTACTCTCAGCTTTAGGTTTAGTCACTGAGAAGTCAATCCCGTAAACCTTCACAGCAACATCCTGCCAGTGATGCAGAGATTTGGCTGTTGTTGGCTTCAACAGCAGCTCTGSTGCATCTTCAAAGGACAGGAGGCTGGATAACGTGAGAATTGCCTGGTGAGAAATGAGTGAGCAGGAAARTGTGCCTGGAAAATCAATAAAAACAGAGCAACCCCAGCCATGGGGTAACTCCTCATCCAAGCAGCTATGACCTGCTGTTAAGAGAAGGCCACGCTGAGCTGGTGGAGCACAAAGTGAGAATTCTGACCTCTGCTCAGCTCCAGGAGCTGTGTGCCTTTGGCTCATGAACTGGTTTGCAAGCAGTTCAGTTCTTAAAACAGAGTYGGTACCAATGAACCTTCTTGGTGAGTCAACTGCTCCAAAGCTCCTTTTGGGCACAAAGTTTGTGTTCCTTGACTGCTCCCAGGCTGGTTAAATAGTGAGGAACTTTAATTTGTGTGGCTTCAGACACACAGCCGAAACCCCACCCACGTGTGTTTGGTTCCAGTGCATAGAGAGGAAGATATATTTAGTTTTCAAGGTGTGAAGCTTTCAACAAGCTCCATGTGTTGGTCAGGAGCTGAGCCGGGTTCTCTCTTGGTGTGCACTTGTGTCAGTACAAGGATGTCACAAAGTCATTGTCCCTGTTACCCCCTTTGTGCAAGGTGGCTCCTGCTCCAGGGATGGCTTCAAAGAGCTTCCRTTCCCAGCAGCATTGATCTGAAAGAGGGATCTGTTGGGAAGGTGGCACACTGAAGCTGGTTTGATGTGGAGGCATCTGTAGGACAGAGCAGTAGGACTTTGGAGAGGAGCCTGGAGGGASAGGACASAGGGAATGGYTTCCCATTGCCAGARSRCASGGATGGATGGGATATTGGGAAAGGATTCCTGGCTGGGAGGGTGGGSASGCCCTGGCACAGGGTGCCCAGAGCAGCTGTGGCTGCCCCTGGATCCCTGGCAGTGCCCAAGGCCAGGCTGGACATTGGGGCTGGGAGCAGCCTGGGACAGTGGGAGGTGTCCCTGCCATGGCAGGGGAGACAAAACTGGATGGGCTTTAAAGTACCTTTCAACCCAAATCATTCCATGATTTAAGTAAGGAATGGACCAAACCAAAATAGATAAGTCTTTGTAGGGCCAAATAGATGGATATACTCTATTGCAAATCTCTCTGTCCTTATTTTCTTAGGAGGACTCAGATCTGAACCCCCATGGGTTGTGATTGTCACAGTTCATAGCAGACTCTTATCCCTGCTTATTTCCAAGTTATTTTAACAAAACCATAAAACATCTGCAGAGGAGAGAAAAAATGTGACTGTTGCCAATATTTAATATATCAAACTAGTGATTTTTAGTAGCTTCTTGAATCAGGAATTAGAGAAGAGCCTGCATTGCAGCTATTAGAAAAAAAAAAAAAAAGAGTAAGCAGGTGTTGGCTTAGTTTCTTAGCGCCCACATTGCTCCTGTTGGTTTATCTGATTGCAAACCAAGYGCACTGTAGCGTGATGAATATGTAGCAGTGGATGTATGGGAAAGATGCTGGAAAGGTTGCATCCTGATGTTCTTAATCAGCAATTAGAAACTAAAAATAGTATTTTAAGGGAAGATAATAAATCTGTAGCCTTTAATCCTCGTGTGCCAATGTGTAAGCTGATATCATTATTACATGAAAGGCAATGAGAGCATAAGTGAGTAAGCAAGAGCAGGCTGCTGTTACAGTCACGGGAGAAATTCCA